ACAGCAGCAGACCAGGCCTCCCTGTCCCTCACCATCTCCCGAAGTTTGCCCAAGTTCATGTTCATTGCAGAGTCTGCCTAAAATCACCCAAATCTATGGACTTGTTTGTTTCTGCCATGCTGTGCGGCTTGCGGGATCTTAGTTTCCTGACAAGGGATCAAACGCACAACCCCTGCAGAGGAAGCACAGAGTCCTAACTATTGGACCATCAGGGAAATACCCCAAATCACCCAAATCTCAACTCCAACCCCATCTTCAGCATAAATTCATTGCTGTTATTGTTGTTCAGTCGTTAAGTTGTGTCTGACACTTTGTGACCCCATGGACTGCAGCATGTCAGTCCATCCTAAAGAAAATGAACTCTGAATATTCATTGGAAGGACTGATGCTGAAGCTGAAGCTCCAATACTTTGACCACCTGATGCAAAGAGCTGACTCATTGGAAAAGACCCTGATGCTGGGAAAGACTGAGATAAATCCATACATAGCATGTATTTTTTTTTTTGCAAGATGAAATACACCTCGATTCTTTTAGAAATGCAGTCAGCATGCAAATTAAGTTTTGTTCAGAATTTTGCCAAGTATGAATCGTCACTTTGCAAAACCCTGTCCGAGAAGGTGGCGATGGTTCTGGTCTCCAGAACCAGACCCAGTCGGTCAGGACTTGCAGCTGCCGCAGAGACGGTTCTGCTTATGAGCACACGGCAATTCCCCGCTCTCTGTTCTAGCGCGTGCCTGAGCATTTACACAGACACACACGGCGATTCATTACACATCACTCACCTTTAACGCTTAGCAAGAGCATTTTGTTGATTTTTAAACTAAAACACGTGGTTGGGTTATTTTTATGGATTTCCTTACATTTAAGGAGGTGTTATACTAATATCTATAGTTAATATCTTTAATAATAATGTCTTTATTAAAGGGAGCAAAGGATCTGAAAGGTTGGGAACCATAGCTTAACACCTGCATTTTGGAGCCTTTTCTTTGTTTTTTGTTTATTATTTGCTGTTTGCATTCCTTTATGAAATAGATACAATTAAGTTAAAATAGTCACCCCTTCTTTAAACACTACTGCTTTCTTATGAGTATAACTGATAAAAGATCAGGGCTTCCCTGGTGGTTCAGACGGTAAAAACAACTGCCTGCAAAGCAAGTGCAGACATTTCAAGTGTACAACCTGATGGACATATTTATACATCTGTCAGACCATCAGGGAAATCAAGACAGTGAACACGCCCATCACCCCCACAGGGCTCTCCTCTCTGGAACTTCTCCCTCCCATCTGACCACTACCTCCTACTTCAGGCCACCACTGATCTGATTTCTGTCACTACTGACTTGCTCTCATGTTTCTTGACTTGTACATAAAAGGAATCACCTAGTAGGTACCGCCGCCTGGCTTTGTTCACTCAGTTTAATTATTTAGAGATTTTTCACGTTGCTGAGTGTATCAATAGTTCATTCTGTTGTATTGCTCACAAGTGCTCCCTTGCATGGCTACACCAAGATTTGCACACCTATTCACTTGTTAACTGGAGAAGAAAATGGCAACCCATTCCAATATTCTTGCCTGGAGAATTCCATGGACAGAGGAACCTGGCAGGGTGCAGTCCATGAGGCCGCAAAGAGTCGGACACGACTGAGCGACTATCACTTACTCACTTGTTAACAGCTGTCTGGGTCCCTCCCAGCTTTGACCACCACACACAAAGCTGCTACGAACATCTCTGCATGAGTTCATGAACACACGTCTTCAGTTTTCTCAAGTATACACCTAGGAGTAGAATGCTGGGTGGTATCGTTAACTGTGTAACTCCCGTGGCTGATACATGTCAATGTGAGGCAGAAACCACAATACTGTAAAGTAATTAGCTTCCAATTAAAATAAATTAATAAATTTTAAAAAATATTTTTTGATGTGGACCATTTTTAAACTCTTTATTGAATTTGTTACAATACTGCTTCTGTTTCATGTTTTGGTATTTTGGCCACAGGGCATATGGGATCCCAGCTCCTGGACCAGGGATCAAACCTGGACCCCATCCCTGCATTGGAAGGTGAAGTCTTAACCACTGGACCACCAGGGAAGTCCCTAACTTTAAAAAAAAAAAAAAAGTTGCCCAAGTCTTTTTCAGAGCTGCCAAATCATTTTATAGTCGTTACAACAGGAACCACAGGCCTTAATCTATGGGAGGCCATTAAGTTGAGAAATTTCCACTTTTTTTGTTACACTCAAAATCATCTGATGAAAATCAATGAGCCACTGGATTTTAAACCCCCCCCCCAAAATAAATAAAATAAAACCCAAAGGTCAGGGGAGTGGAGGAAGCAGCTCGGACCTGGCCCTGAGAGCAGGCACTCAGAGGTGAGGAGAGGAGGCGAAGGCCTGAGCCCAAAAAGCCAAGGAGGCCCCCTCCTGCCCAGGCCTTGGTCCCCTGCTCCCCAGGAGCCCCGGGGCGCCCACCAGACCCTCCTCACCCCCACCCACGCCTGCGGGGGTCACGGGTGCCGGCTATGGTTCACACCTCCAGGAGTAGAGCCAGGGACCCATTGCCTTCGATTCTCACCCCATGATCCACCGTCCCCAGAGCACCCCAACTGGCTGTTACAAAACAGAACTCCCAGGGGCTTCCCTGGTGGTCCCGTGGCTAGGACTCCACACTTCCCATGCAAGGGCCCCAGGTTCGATCCCTGATCAGTCAACTAGATCCCACAATGTGTTGCAACTAGGAGTCTGCAAGCCACAATTAAAGATCTCACATGCCACAATGGAAACCCGGAGGACGTGCCACTGCTCTGCATAAAGCCCACTTGTCTTCTCACATCTGGGATCAAATCCTAGCCCAGTAGCACAGCCTGTGAACCCCTGCAAATACTTGTCTTGCTTTTTCTCCTCCCATTCTCCCCACCTCTCACCACACTTCAGCCACACAAGCCCTGCGCTGCTCCGTCAGCACGCCACCTCACCTCTGCCTCAGGACCTTTGCACTAGCTGTTCCTGCAAACGGAAAGCCCTTTCCTACGTTTGCACGCAGCTCCCTCCCTCCTCTGACACCGAGTCTCCACTCAGAGGAGCCACCCCTGACCACCCAACCTGTATCGGCTCCCAGTCACTCTGGCCCTCACGGCCCCTCCTTGTTAATCTCATCATCTCACTTCACACTCTCTCCCGTTTCTCACAGGGTGTGTTACACTCAAGCCCTGGATCCCACGCAAAATTGGAGTTGCACCAGACAAGGAGCCTGTCTCTCCAGTTCCACTCTCTGAACCCCCAGGGCCTAAACCACGCTCAGCACATCAGCAGTCATCAACTCTATCTGCTGAACAAAACAGCCAAGGGCCAGGCCGGTGATGGAGCTTCACGTTGCAAGGCCGGTCCTCCTCCTAGGAAGTCTCCTTGCTGACCTCTCCCAGAGCTGCGGCAACCGGCTCACGGGCAGAGCCCCAGAGGACAGCCGTGTGGACGCCCCCTGCCACCCGGCATGGGAGAAAGCCTGAGGACACACCTTCTCTCCAGGAAGGAGGCTGCAGGCCAGGCCGAAGGGAACCAGAAACCCCATCTCTGCCTGAGACCCTCCAACTGGGTCACAGACACGGTACCCAGCCAGAGTCACATGTGCGCAGAGCACCTCCTCACCAGGTAAGCCACAGAGGCTCAGCTCAACCCACCTCCCAGGAGACGTCGTCTCCTCTGTTCATGGCCACTGCAGGCAGTCACAAGGTTCTCTGCTGACGCCCTGGTGGCCGGGGTTTCTCTCCTGGGAGGCCCGCTGCTCTGTGGGGCTGGGCACCAGGCTCGGGGCTTCCCAGGGGGGCACAAGTAATAAACAATGCAGGAGATGCCGGAGACGTGGGTTTGGTCCCTGGGTAGGGAAGATCCCTTGGAGGAGGGCATGGCAACCCACCCTGGTATTCTTGCCTAGAGAATCTTACGGACAAAGGAGCCTGGCAGGCTACAGCCTATAGGGCTGCAAAGAGTCAGACACAAATGAAGCGACTTAGCACACTCGCACACACACCAGGCTGGGCCCTCGTCAGCCGGCTCTCCAAGGTGGGCACCATCCCATAATGACTACAGGAGGACTGACACCATCCCCTGCCATCAGAGTCCCTTCGAGTTCGCGTCCGGCTTCTCTGGTCGCGGGATGCATCTTAAGTCAGTGTCATACCCTGGTTTAACTGGCAGCTGTTTCCCTTTTTCACTGGTGCATCACACAGGTGATAATGTCATAATGATGCATCGCATAGGTGATGACGTCTTCTATTCAAAGGAATAAGACAAATACATGCTGCGGAGGCCCTCGCCTGACTCCCAAAATAACCTGATGACAGAGCTTGGGGTTGGCATACAGCTCGCATGGGGGGAGGGTGTGAAATCCAAGACAGACAGTGAGCAGTGATGTAAACCACGGACTCAGTGTGGTCTTACAGGCTGTTACCGACGTGCCCCTCCGGTGGGGGTACCCTGACGGCAGGTGGGGGAGGGGCATGTGCAACTCTGCAGCTTCTGCTCAGACCTGCTGTGAACCTAAAAGTGCTCCAAAAAATAAAAGCCTGTTGACAAAAAATCCAGTACAGCCCAAATCACCCTCGATTGGGGCTTCTTAGGCTGAACACCTCAAGAAGCAGTTGATTTGGCGTGTTGAACTGAGGCATTTAAAACAGTAAGAATGCTCAGGATGCCAGCTGCTCAGAGGGAAGGAGAGGAAACGAGACAATTCCGGGAGGATGGGGTCGCTGAGGGTCGCGGCAAACAGAATCTGCAGACTTGACATCTTTCTCTTTTCTTTTCTATCCGAATTGCCTGAGCTACATGGCGGACTCCACTCCACTTGTGGATGCGCAAACCGTGGTTCTGAGACGGGAAGCAGCCCACGGAGCGCTGTGACTTTTAAGGGACGGCACTGCGACCATCCCGGGCCACAGTGGAGGGACAGGGCTACCGGCTCAACCTAGTGAGCGTCCGGCGTGCCCGCGGCCAGATGCCTGGCACTTACTTTCTGGACTTGGCACATTCCTTCTTCCAGTTCTTTACCAAGACCGGCACGACTTGTTCTGACATGTCCTCCTTATTCAGGGACCAGAGGTCGGTGCTGTCCAGGGGCTGGCGGTAGCCCTGGACCATCATCCTGTGGCCAAAACACAAGAGGCGATGAGAGTCAGCCCTCCCCGCTACTGTGGCCCGCACGACCACAGGCAGCCGTGATCAGGGAACTCTCAGTGTGAATGGACCTGTGGACACATGGCACCATTACTGCTAACTCCCTTAGATCCCCCAGGAAAAATGGCCTCGTTTTTAGACAAACATACAGAGTATTTAGGAGGAAAGTAGCAGGATGTTTCTAATTTACTTTCCAAAAAAAATGTTTAAGGCTAATATCATAGAGCATTAACCATCATTATATTTGGTGATGAGTTTAAGGTTTATTAGCCTAGCCTTCCTGCTTTGAATACTTTCATTATAAAAGGGAAACTTCGTATTTTAACTTGTTATTTTGAAAGATTTCAAATTCAGAGAAAAACCAGAGGAATTGTACAAAGAATTCCTGTTGATCCTTCACCAAGCTCATGACTGTTAACATTTCACACGTGCTGTATCTGTCTCTGTCTCTAGATACACGTGTGTGCAAACACATACAAGGCAGACCTCGGAGATACTATAGGTCTGGTTTCAGACCACTGCAATAAAAGTGAATATCACAATAAATTGAGTCACAAGAATTGTTTTGGTTTCCCATACTACATTTATATTTACGCTAGCATTTTGTCTAAAAAGGAATATACAGAGCTTAACTTAAAAATGCTGTATTGCTAAAAAATGCAAAGTTAAGCATCATCTGAGCCTTCAGCAAATCCTAGTAATAATAGCAAGGATCACAGATGACCATAATAAATATAATAATAATGAAGACATTTGAAAGATTGAGAGAATTACCAAAATGCGACACAGAGACACAAAGTGAGCGAACGCTGATGGAAAAAGGCGCCAACAGACTCATTTGGCACAGGGTGGCTACCAACCTCCAATTCGGAAAAAACATGGTAGCTGGGAAGCGTAATGAAGTATGCCTCTATCTTTTTTCTGAGGAGGCTGCACATACCTTCACATACCCTACACCCCTGCACCCCTAACTATCAGTGCGTATCCGCCTAAGAGAAAGGACATGCTCTGATATCGCCAAAAGACGACGACCAAAATCAGAAACATGAGCTTGGCTGGCATGACCAGTGGTCCATGTCCAAACACCATCAACTGTGTCACAGCTCTTCTTTCATAGCATTTGAAAAACAGTTAAGAAAAATACTAAATTAAAACGTGTAAAAAGTTCATAAAGACAAGGAAAAAATGCTTGGGGGAGGAGGAAGGCTTTAAATAATCCCCAGTAAGATGCTGACAATGTGCAGAAAACAACATGCAAACAAAAGGCGGGCGAGAAGGCAGTGTGCTGAGCTGTGGATGTGGCTGCCTCTGCTGCTAGTGGTCCATACACATTTCCCTCACCCGTTTTCCCTATGTTATTTATCTCGGGGCGGCGGGGGTTGGGGGGGGGGGATGATGCTAATGATAATAACTACACCCAATGCAAAACAAAAACAACCAAATCCGGAGCCAGGAGTCTGCAGTTTCTTGCCCAGGCCGAGCTAGTTATGCATTTATAACGTGACTGTGGGCTCACGGTCAGAGTCGCCAAGACCCATGCCCAGGGCGCACATACTCCGGACACAACCCTGTCGGAAAGGGCGAGGGAGGGAGGGCTGCACATTGGTGGCCCAGCACCCGCCAGAGGTCTGGGGGCCAGGACTTACCCTGTGATCCACCAGAAGGTGATCCTGGAAAGGAAGGAGGCACTGGATTCCGGGCAAGGATTCTATGAAGAGAAGCACAGGGTGGGGAACCCAGGGGAAATGATAGGTTAAACTTCTCGTCTATGCCAGCTCCAGGCAGGGAGCAGCCAGCTCCCTGGTCCTCCCAGTGGACCAATGGTTCATTCATTTCTTAGTTCATTCATTTATTCCACAAATATTTAATGAGCATCTACAAAGTGGCAGGCACAAAGGACTAGCATTATCTCGTATCTTCACAGAACCTGGTATGACCTCTATTCCTCTTTCTTTCATTCATTCATTCACTCATTCTACAAGTATCTTCTGAGCACCTACTATACACAAATCTGAACTAACAGACATAACCCTAATCCACATCAACTGCTAGCACTCTCTGCTAGCTATTAACAGTTCTGTTTTAAATGTTTTATGAAAATTATCTCCTTTAATCTTCACAATCACACTAGGAACTAGATAAAGGCATCGTCTCCATTCTGTAGTTACGGACACTGAGGGCCAGAGAGATGAAAAGCCTTGCCCAGGGTGCCAGAGCTGGAAGCAGTGGAGACAGAACATGAGCCCCAAACAGTCAGGGTCTGGAGAGAGAAACATTAATCAATCACGTAAACAAATTCAAAACCACAACTGTGACAAGGATTACATCCTGGAGGCAGGTCGGTATGACCAGTGAGGTCACTGGGACCTCCTTGGGCTGATCCAGTTGATGGAGGTCAGGGAAGGCACTCAAGCTGGGGTCTGAAGAGTGGGGAGAGGATGACTAAGTGAAGGGGGAGAGACAAGGTGGTCCCAGCAGAGCGACTGATGTGTGCAGAGGCCCCGAGGTAGAGGGGAACATAGCGGGCTCCAGGAAACAAGAGGGGGCCTGAGCAGTCTACACTGGAAGATGTGCTCAGTCTACAGTGGAGGTCACGTAAGGGATTTTGGTCGCCATCGCAAGGGCAACAGGAAGTCATCAACAGATTCTAAGCAAGCTTTCAAACAACCTCTTTCCCAGAGCCACAAAGATGAACTCCAGTTCAGGGCCACACAGGCAAGGCCATCAGACAGAGCCTTTGGGATTGCACATGAGGGCTGATACATTCAAGTCTAAATCTGGGGACACGAGCATTGGCGAAGGTTGGGTCACCAGACTAACGACGAGATCACTAGCCAAGGACGTCGTTCTCCATCCCAGAATTTCACAGAGATAAGCTGCTGGGGAGGGACGTCCCTGGAGGTCCGGTGGTTATGACTTTGCCTTTCAATGTGGGGGTGTGGGTTCCATCCCTGCTCGGGGAGCAAAGATCCCACATGCTTAGTGGCCCAAAATAGCAAAACATAAAACAAAAATGATATTGTAACAAATTCAATAAAGATATTTTAAAATCCCAAAGGAAAAAAAAAAGACACTAGAGGGACTGATGAGGAGAAGCGGTTGTACACCCCGGCCGGGGGCACTCGGAAAAAACACTGTATCTGCCCCACTCCCCAGGGGCTCCCATTTAGCTGGTTTGGGGTGGGTCCAGGTACTTGAATTATTGTTTTTGTTTTCAGCTCCCAGTCTCCTTGGCCAAGTGGCTGGGCAGGAAATGTACAAGATAAGCCCAGAATATCTTGTCACACCCAACAGGACAAAGGCAGGTAAAAGACCTCAGATGCAACCAAAAGTGGCTCTCACGAGTCCAGAAAGGGACAATTTGAGCTGCGATACAGACAGTAAGGCAAAAGGGCTGAGACATGTCACATTTTAAATACACAAGTTCACCTTGATACTGGAAGAGAAGGAAAATCTCTTGGTGTCAGTGATGAAAATGTACTAGAGAACCAAGTCACTGTTTTGAAAACAGAAGGAAAGAAACAAGCATTTGTCTATGACAACACGGGGTGACCAAAGGGATGAGGGGGTGTGTCTGCGATAAAATGGTTCAGCTTTCAGGTGGAGGAGGAACAACACCAATAAGAGGCTGCACCACTCTGCAAGCACAGTGCATTTCTGGAATACTTGGTGATATTAAGGAATTAGTAAGTTGTTAGGCCATATAATGGTACCATTGTTGTACTCCTTAAAATCCTTATCTCTCAGACATTATTGTGGAAAGTTGGAGAAGGGTATACAAGAACACCACCATTGTTGTAACTTTTTGTGGGTCAAATTATTTCAAAATAAAATTTTAAAAATGTTTAAATTCCTTATCTGTTGCAGATAATGAAATGTTTACATGTGATGCAGGGTAAGTAGTCCGTGGCAGGTAAAAATTTAAAATAAATAAATAAAATAGTCCATGGCACTCATTACACCATGCTGTCCACTGTTGTACACAGCTGAAAGTTTCTATCATGAAAATCTTCCCCAATGAGTCAAATATGAAACCCGAGCTAAGAACCACCAGGCTTCACTAGTACTATCTGTCCCAGAATCACCTGGGGAGCTTCATAAACACAGGTGCCCTGACCTGCTAGACCACCTGGGGGTGGGGGTGGGACCCTGGCATCGGGGTACCCTTAATCAGATGCAGCTAGCCCACAGACCTACATTCCGAACCAACCAAAAGCCAGATGGCCCTGAGTTTGAATCCCAGCTCTGCACTTTCCACCTGAGCAAGTCCTTTCACCCCAGAGTCTCAGTTTTCACACCTGGGAAATGGGAGTCAGGTGAGTCACACTGCTCAGCCTCCCCCTGGAGACTCCCAGGAGGAATGAGGTCTTTGAAGCCGCAGCATTATTCCCGGAGGAGGTGGTGATACTTGCTTTGCAGGCTTTTTCTTTTTTTCCCCACCCCTGGAAGTGGGCGGGTTATCAAAGAGTCACAGATGCACTTCAACTATCACCTAGTTCCTGCCCCTGTAAAAAGCTGGCCGAGAGAGGAAGAGATGCTTGGGACAATGACTCATTTCTTAGGCAAATACTGAGGGCGGACCTGCTTATCTGCCAGGAGATGGCTAAGTATCATTACATCCAAGGCCAAACAGTGAGGTCCTCGTCCAGTACCGCCTCCAGGACAGTAAGCAAACCAAGACGCAAATAAATATATAAAGATGAATGGCCAGAGCTATGAGGAGAACAGCAGCAACAACAAAACAAGGGGCCTGAAGTGGGAGAGGGGAGGGAGGGTGCCAGGGCAGGAGGCGCCCAGAGGTGAAGCAACATGGAGCAAGGTGATCGGAAGGAGGTCTGAATCCCAGCCCTGCCACTTACTTGGTGATGGTGATGGTGAGATTAAGTGAGATAAAGCCTGTGAAGTACTCAGGACAGTTCCTGGCACAGAGTAAAAGCTCAAGCGATGACATTAGCAGTATTAACATTAAAACTAATGGTAACCCCAGTAACAAGTCCACTGTTTCCTGCAGACTCTGACACACCAAACAGATGTTTCATGTCAAGACTGGCAAACTCAGGCCCACAGCCCAGCCGCTTGCAAAGCAGTTTTATTTGGACATGGTGATGCCCATTCATTTCCGTACTGTTCATGTCTGCTTCTGAGCTACAGCTGAGCTGAGAACTTGTGACAGAGACCCTGTAGTCTACAACTGTCTACCATCTGTCTCTCTGCAGAAAAAGTTGGCTGACCCCTGCTTACATCAGACCTCATGACATTCAAGATGGTGATTCTTAAGGAGAGGAACTGGAGCTCAAATGCAGCTTCTTTCGGTCTTGGCATAAACACAGGGTCAGCCCTGCACAAAGATGCCCAGCCGAGGGGGCAAGTGGGGGCTGAAGTTCAGCCGGTGCCTGGACCTGGGGGGCAGGGGGGGGTGATGGAGGGGGGACTGCATTAGCAGGAAGGACGTAGGGCCTTTCTCAAATTCACCCACCCAGGAGGGCCAGACGCCTTTTTCTAATTAAAAAAAAAAATATTTTTTTCTTTTTGGCTGCACCACATGGCATGTAGGATCCTAGTTTCTCGACCAGGGATGGAACCCAGGCTCTCTGCAGTGAGAGCAGAGAGTCTTAAGTACTGAACTGCCAGGGAGGTCCCCAGGTGCCTTTTTCTAACCTGCATAGAGACCCCAGTGCAAACTGTCAGGGTGTCAGACTTATACACCCAGGGGCCTCACAAATCCTGCTGTTCCTTTGAAATCAGCCAAGCCTGGATGTGGATCAGGAATGAAACAACCTAGGATGGAATGCTGCATCTCTAAGCCTTCCCTCTAAGTTCCTGCCTCCTTTCCCCCAAGTCCTTAGGAGGAAAGCTGTAGGATCTTATTTGGCTAGCTACTTTTTCTGCCCTCATCCTAAAGAAGGGGTGCCCTCTCTTCTTGCTCTTTTTAGGTCTAGGGCCTGGTTGGAACTAACAGGGCTTGAGTGAGTCTGGGCAAAGCCTCTTTCCACTGAATGGATAAGTCCGACTTGTAAGCTGTTGTTACCATTCAGTCACCAAGTCGAGTCCGACTCTCTGCATCCCCATGAACTGCAGCACGCCAGGTTTCCCGGTCCTTCACTATCTCTCAGAGTTTGCTCAGATTCATGTTTATTGAATCGATGATGCCATCCAACCATCTCATCCTGTCACCCCCTTCTCCTCTTGCCCTCAATCTTTCCCAGCATCAGGGTCTTTTCCAATGAGTCAGTTCTTCGCATCAGGTGGCCAAAGTACTGGAGCTTCAGCTTCAGCATCAGTCCTTCCCATGAATATTTAGGACTGATTTCCTTTATGACTGACTGGTTTGATCTCCTTGCTGTCCAAGGGACTCTCAAAAGAGTCTCCTCCAGCACCACATTTAAAAGGCATCAATTCTTCAGCGCTCAGCCTTCTTTGTGGTCCAACTATCACATCCATACATGACTACTGGAAAAACCACAGCTTTGACTATACAGATCTTATTGCAAAATTCAGGCTCAAATTGAAGAAAGTACAGAAACCTACTAGACCATTCAGATCCGCCCTAAATCAGGGATGTATGTCAAATATTCCTCAATAAAACTGCAGTGGAGGAGGGGAGAAGGAAGGAACCTGGTGGCTGTATAACTGAAGATGAATTCAACCCCTTTATACCCAACTGTGCCCAGATGGAGTCCTACCTCAGACCACAAGAAATGCCGGCCC